ATGATGACATTGCATGGTGACATTGCATCGAGGATAATGCACGATGACATTGATGGTGACATTTGGATGAGGAATAATACATGATGACATTGCACGACATTCACATGAATTACTTGTATGACGGGATTGCATGAAAGCATTACATGACGGCATATGTATGACGGCATTATGACGGCATTTGACCTTGACGGCATTGTATGACCGGCATTACATGGGTCACCTATTGTCTCCATGCCTCTTGTTTTCATATATATATTATACAATGTGTACATATGAATATGCGTGTGTGCGTGCTAGCGTGCATATAAAAAATCACTATAACTACCAGCTATGACCTGGAACCAATGTAGCTACAGAGAACTATCGCGTGAAACTCATGTATCTACGGAGAGCTATGGGCTTACCAAAGTCTGCGATCTTGACCGCCCGTGTTGTGGTCTAGAGCGCAGGTTTTCTGGCTTCAGGTCGCGATGGGACGACCATGTGTCGGTGGCCAGTAGTCGACACCGATATAATCTGATCTGGAAGAACTTACGTGCCTCGCTCTCCTTCAGCTGTGAAGAACGACAAGCACCATGGCAACGCACGCATGGCAACGCACCTCGTGAGGACAGATCCGCAGTTTGCCACACTTGCGGCATCGCCGCGGTTTGCAATCGTTTCACGAATTTTAATAACACGAATTCATTCGGTTGAACGTTTGCTTCGTATCACGATATCAAGCGTTCATGGATCATGCGGTGGCGAATAGCAAATGTCACTGTGCGTGTTTGAAATTCATAAATTAGAAGATTTGGAAGATATTACGTGAATACCGTTCAGTAAAATACACGCAGTCTGCGGGTATGAACAGATTTCGTATTTTCACATGTGATGTCAGCACACAACTAATGACAGTTTCGATAAAAACACAGTTGAGGTAGACTACGGAAGCACTATCTATAAACATACTAACTTAACATTCGAATGATATAAGTGCATAGGCATCTAATAATTTACTCGAGTCAATACCTTCATGCTTCACAATAAGTCGAATAGTTCTCCACCAGCTAACTATTCCATAACCATAGAAATAATCAGTTGGTGTGCTAATAACTTGGTATCTAAAATAATAGGCAAAAACAGTCGTGTTATGCATAGAAGCCACAGACATATTGAAATACTTTGACTTTATAAATTCTACATTGTCTAAAACGTATTACATAAGATAACAAATAAATTAATACAAGCTGCGAGAGGTTTTAACAGTGCCGTGGCATGACCGCGCTCATTCTAACGTCTACTGCGGTGACTCGGTGCGGCAGTGGTGGATCTAGTAAACCTGTTAGTCCCAAATGTGTTCACATACACGCCGAAACAGTGGAAGGCACAGCCAGGGATCGGTATCAGGAACCTTCTCAAAGGAATGTTCGTTGGAATGTTACGAAAGTTGCCACGAGATGGGCGTACGTTTAAGTGTCTTCAGATTAAAGATAGAGCTCCCATCGTACGTAGTAGCAACAAACTATTTCCACGACATGAATAGGTGAGACACGTTCCATTTACCTACGTCAAGCCTTACAGGCTGAAATAGAGAGCTGGCCACCTGTAAACTAATTAATGCAGGCAAAACTACACAGTACTATCCAACTCAACATGCCACTGGCAGTGGCCACTTGCAGTGGCATAAGCTTTACATGTAACACACTGACAGTACAGAATGCAGTTAAGAAATTATTAGCGCATTTAAGGAGATATACCTTCTTCAAAACACAATTTGCTTTGGAAATTTCACTGTGACATTGTAGCCTCATACATCCAGCATGTATAGATTCTACTAGCCAACTCCGGCCAGTCAAATCTTTCTAACAGTAAACAAATCCATGTTTAACCTCCTCTTAGGGTCAAAAGGTCTTATGCCGACACTTAACGCTTGCGGCATGCGAGCAGCAGCAAGCTACATTTCATGGTCCTTTCACATAAGCATAATAATGCTAGGTCACCGCTGAAACAAAAAAAGTTTTCAATCGCCTCCGTCAGATCCATGTCCCTCAAAACATGTCTAAAATCGGCCCTCTGCCCCCAGTTTGGACCTTTGACCTGTGACCTCGCTAATTTAGGCACAGTGAATGGTTTTTTTCCATGATGCTATTACATCCGACTTCGACGAGCCTAGTCGAGCCTGTTTAGATTAATGTGCGAATTTCTGCATTTTCTCCCTATTACCTTATAGTAAGGAGGAAATGTTCCCCCTTCTTTTTACACCTTTTGACCTTTGAACCTTTCGACCCAGCTCTCGACATCTCAACTCGGTTTTCGGATTATCCCCCCCCCACGTCACCGAATTATCCCTAAAACCGTACATCAAGCGCATTTAGATTGCTTCTGTGCCCAACTGTTGATGCACGGACGGTATGACGCACGACGGTCACGGACGGTAGCACGACGCTACGAAAGGCGCGCTTCATGCGTTCTACAAGCATGCATCTGACTATCGTACAGTCAGTGAAGCTAAAAATACAATATTGTCCCCGATCTAAACAGTATTTCTGTCTGCAAAATGTGTATGCCAGATAACAGCTATTTTTGTGCTTGAATAAGTGCCTCTGCACAGACAAGAAATAGCATTTGCCTTACATATTGAATGTATCTATAAATACATTCTGTACGCTCCAGTATCCTCTGCGCCAATGACAATCTAATCTCAAAATTTAGAGTAAACATCACGTGGCCTGTAGTGCACAAAAATACCGACATGCAAAAATACGTTACTTTAGTAGTTAGTCTAGTAATAATTACACTTTTACAAAAACTTGTTATTTAAGATAAAACGCAAATAATTGTTTTGGGAAGATTGTAAAGAGCTACGTCTAGCTGAGAAGAAGCATTTTTTCTATTGCATTTAAAGAATGGTTGACTTAGCAGTATGCGATTGAAACTGTATAACGATGACGTTAATAGTTACGTTTCTCCAAATATTTCAGTCAATGCTATTTCTTTTAGTCTTGTGAGAGTGCATTTCTGTATGTACCAGTAACATTAGCTACATTATACTTGTTCATATTAACAGGTTACTTTAAACAGATGTCCAATTTATTATATTCCAACAATATCGCCATTAGATTTGCATCTACCAGTGAATATCTGAGGAAAAAATGACACAAGGACGATCCCCTGCACATCATTCTTAGATACAATAATGTAACCAAACCAGGATTAGGGTTACCAAGCGTCCGCTATTGGTTTTTCTGTGGGGAAATTCAGGAAGCCCTGAGTCGAATCAATCAGGAGCGTGTTTGCATGGTACGTTTTCAGAGACTAGAAACTTCCAACTGGTTTATTCTCAACACTGAACCTTTCTACGCTATCTTGGAACTTATATGTATTCACGAATCTCTGTATTAAATAATATAAACCTGCTTACAGAAAATTCGAAGTGACGAGCGGCGGATCTTTCACGCCATCTGTTCACCTGTGACGTACGCATTCGCCACTGCGCCATAGCGATCGCAAACGCAGCGCCTCGATTGTGTCGGTGAATCGCGCTCTTCAAACCGAAATAAGCGTCACATGGTAACAAGGAAATGCGCCTCATCAGTTTATATTGCGCTCTCACTTCGAATTTTTTAACAGTTATATTAGTTAATACAGAAGTATTGTATTACATCAAGTAAGTCCCCGGTTAGCGGAGAAAGGTTCGTGTTTAGATAAAACCCAGTTTGGAAGTGTCAGGTCTCGAAAAACGAACCATAAAACCGCCCTGGATGATTCACTCGGGTTCCCTGAATTTCCTCCACAGAACCATAGCACGCGTTGTAACCCTTATCCTGGGTTTGGGTCTACACTTATTGTATCAAATTCATTTTATGCTATGATCGCATAGGATGATGTGCATAACGGAGTGCACACCCAAGTACTTTTATTTCGTTGAACTTGACTTATATTTATATTAAGTCATTATTATATCGCACTGGCTGGAGGTACGCAGCTGTCGGTCGTTCAAGCCCCTTTTTTGCGTTCTAGGGTTAGGTTAGATTAGCGATTTAGGGTTAGGTTAGGTTTAGGGTTATGGTTTAGGGTTAGGGTTAGGGTTCTTGCTCGATCTAACTCTCAAATCGTGAATTTATTTTCCCAAGGCGTTATTTCGAATCTAGCTGCCACGGCCGCCATCTATTGTTCTGTTAAATATGAAACGCGAATGGAATGCGCGTACCCGTAGCCAACGCAGGACATTAAGATACGGCTTGGCAGTACCGTAAGCAACTGCCTTTATTTATAAACTAAACATGCAGGGTGCTATTCATATTATCACTTACAGCTTGATGATGTGTGGATGTCGGAAGAGCTTGAGATTCTGTATCTCTCTTCGAATCTTTCCGACGACATCTAAACTTTTGATCTTCTGCCTATTGAGAACCTTGATGGCAACCTTGTGCTTCGTCAGTTGATGCTCTCCAACTAGAAGAAGAGATATGTAGCAGCAAGCTTGTTATTTAGATTTTAGGCACATAACTCGGCTACCCAAGATAGGTCACATCCCCTGGCTAGCTACTGGCTCCCTGCGTTATTATCCACGTAACCGTGGGCTACGTAGTAATCTATCCAGATCCAGATCCAGATAACACTAACCTGCAATGCAATATTGACCCTCGGGAACTGAAAATTTACAACCACTTACGATGCAGCGGTTTCCAAATGTTGCGTCGGAATCTTGTGACTTTTGATGCTAAAATTCGCAACATTTTTAATGTGTGGTAACGATCAAATACCTCAACATGGGTTTATACTTACTTTTAACTTTTCCGAAAGTACCAACGCCGAGTGTATCACCAAGAATGTAGTGACCAATTTTCACTTTTGGAGGGGAATCCGCCATGGCTGATTCTTGTTTACTTCCAGGTCTTACTATCCCATAATGCGTAGCGATAATAATATTACGCGTTCTTTGATTGGACAGTATCCTTAAGGTTAGCAAATCGTAATCATTGTTACATGATGGCTAAATTGCGTACATGTTTTTTGTCACGTTTGCTGTTACAGCAGTTCCAGTCATAGTCCCAGTACAGCAACTCCTGAGAACAAGTACAGAAGTCCGTGTTGTCACCGAGTTATTGCTAAGATATTCACGTTATGTTTAGCACTAAAGAGTATCTAGACAAGAAAACAGGTCCTTATGGGGTTGGGAGGCTTTCGTATCTTCAGATGCTGGTGACGGAGTTTCAAGATACTGATAGTCAAGGCAAACATATTTACACACATTTATTCCTAATCGGAGTAATCCTATTCTTCCTACTCTGTACTCCTACGCGTCCTACTAGTAATATTATTACTTCTCTTTCTTCTGTTGACAACAGTGGTGTTACACGACTGGGTCTGGTTATACTACTAGGATTTTCAATTTGGATATGCTAAACATGTTGACATTCTCTCCCTCATCAAACCCAGAACTTCGGAAGTGATACCAGTAGCAGTACCACAGACTAACGGATACATCCGTTAGTCTGTGGTGATGCCTTGTGAAATACAAGAGTGGGACAATATACGATACGATACGATACGATACGAAACCCCCTTTTTCATCTTCCATCTACTACCGCTCAAGGGGTCGTTGTCGTAACAGGTACTACAGATATGTACCCGAGGTACATATATGTATACACAAAGTGTACCAGACTTGTACTAACAGAAGTGTACCCTAACCCTAACACTAGCCCTAACCCTAATCCTAACTCTAACTCTAACCCTAACCCTAAACATACCTCATATAAAATATAAACATAATACTAAACAACCTAAAACTACCGTCGGTACATATCTGTAGTACCTCCCAGCAAACACGGAACATTCTCGTAACATTCGCTGGAGGTTCTAGTTTGGTTACATTAACCAAAAATATTCTAAGAACATTCCCATATCGTTATGCATTTATTGGTTTTACTTGATGTGAGAGAGTTATGTCTTCGAGGAATTCGGAAAACGTTAACCGTCCTCAGATGGGTTCGAATTAAACTCATAATTCCGCGTTTTTGTGATGTTGCAAACTATAGCACAGGTATCAAATGTATTTTTGTTCGCAGTGCTACTGGGGACGGTAGCCGTATCTTAATGTCTCGAGGCACGGGTACGGTAGTCCATTTGCGGCATGCATCGCTTTTCACAAATAATGTCGTTCACTAGCTATTAATAATCTCCAGCCTAAAGTAATTAATTAATTAATTATTAATTAATAATAAATTAGCTAGCTCTACACTAGTTGTTTGGGATTGATTGTCAGTTCAGAAACAGTTCAGTTCAGTTTGTTATTGAAAGCCAAAGATTTTATACACCATAAGATTAATTTATCTGTGTTAGATGCTATCATATACGACTCGAGTCGCTTATAATTTGTGTTAAGGTTAGTGATAGGGATAGTTTATACTGTTTGTACTTGTTTGTGTGTGTGGTCGTTGTGTGATTGTACTGCTCGTAGGGTCTATGTCCCCTGACCTCTGTTTGACCTCGCTCGTTTAGCTATTTCTGACTAACCCTAACCCTAACCTAATCCTAACCCTAACCCTAACCCTAACGCCTATATATATTATATATTATATTATATATATATATTATCAGAAATAGCTAACGAGCGAGTCAAACAGAGGTCAAGGGACATAGACCTATTGCGATTGTATGCCAGTACGCTGGAGACAAGACTGCAGCGCACACGTAGTGTTGCTGCAGTTAATATGTTATTTTTTCGGAGGTTGATCATGTTATGTGAATGTTTGCAAAAAACGTTCTCAGAACGTCAGGAAAACTTTCCTAAAACACGTTTTAGAACGTTACTGAATAATGTTCTGCCTAACTAAAAAGAAACCATTCCCATAACATTCAAGGAACATAACTTTGTTAGCTGGGCTGTTACGACAACGACCCTTCGTGCTTCTACTACCCTGCTCAACACATCTGGACCCTTTATGCAAGGGCTCGACACTAACTTTTTTTTTTCAGTGGCCCGATCGGGCCACCAAAATCATTGATTTTCAATTTTTGGTGGCCCGAAATGAAATCTGGTGGCCCGAAAAAAAAACAAAGTAAAACATTATAAACTCTTATTTCAATCTCGTATTAGTATCTTATTTGAAAATTGGGCCGTCTGATGCACTTGCACAAGTCTTTAAACAACCGCCACACACTGACAATTGATGTGAGGCATACATTTGAATTGTCCATTCCACGGCATCAAATTTTCACCAGAACCCGCTGTTCTGGTTCGCTTGATACAATGTAATCACATGTGATGCTGTGCGCTTGGCAAAATATGCTTTGGCCTGCGCCCGCTCACATTTTGACTCTGGCTAGACTGGTTCGGCGGCCGAACTGTTCGTCGCAGAGCGTGTACATTGTTTAGCAGAGCGTGAGGCCGGATACCAGTCTAACACAATAACGTGGCTTGTTGCAGCCGCAGTAGACCGATCTAACCGTGCGCCGTGTATGCCCGCGGTAGAATGCTGCACGTGCGTACGTGTGGCCCTCGCTCCACGAATTGCTCGCTCTCTTTTGAATGAGACTCTACACGTAGAAACAATTTATTTTCTTATCACATAGACACTTTGAAATTTTAGTGGCCCGTTCGGGCCACCAAATTTTAACTTTTTGGAAATTTTGGTGGCCCGACATCAAGTTTGGTGGCCCCGGGCCACGGGCCACCGCTAGTGTCGAGCCTTGCTTTATGGCTTCCCTGTATACCATCTTTTATTATCCTTATACTGAATATATTCCTCATCCATAAACGCGCATTCCTCCTACTCCATATTTCTCCTCCGTCCTCTCTTATCTTTTCCCTATTTATTCACTCCTACCTAAGTATACCTTGTCTGCCTGCATGCCCTCCTCTCATGTTCACTTTCTCTTTACCCCCTCTCCTGCCTACAACTCTATCATTTCTCGATATCTGGCCTTCACCATAATTGTTCCCCAACATTCCTTCCCCACCTTCCCATTTTCCTTCACGATATTCTCCTCTCTTTCCTCTTCCACCTACTACCCATTTCCCATTTCTATGTTCCCTCTTATATTCCTCTTCATAAAGTTTCAGATAATATTAATGGTAGCGAAAATCCTTGGTTATACTCTACCTGTTTTGCTGCTATTTTACTCTAAGCAACACATGTATGGGGTGCCATGGTCATTTGCTTCCCCAGTACTCCAAGTGGCAACTAGTGGTAACATTTGATTTTTTTTATTCCAGATGCAAAGTTACAAGTACTGAGCAATCTAGCCAATTTTGCATACGATCCAATCAACTATGATCACATGAGATCACTTAATGTTATGGACCTTTTTCTTGGTGAGCGGGGGTAACAGTGAAATTTCATCCATTCCATAAATTGCATGCTGCCTTTTGCTATTATCAGATTAGTTCCTAGCTGTATAGAGTTTTGATCTGATATTGTAAGGTTTCATTTCTGTTAGCTAATTTATATACATTATATGTAGCCTCTTTTATGCCTTGGCCATAGCCCATAACCTGTGAGTGAACATGCAAACAGGTACTCGATAAAGGGAATAATTAAGGTTACTAAAGTTAATCAATAGTATATATACGAATATATATATATAATATATACATATATATATATATATATTAGCTGCCATAGACATCTTGATATGGTCAATCATCCATAGGCATAAAATATGGGTCCTCTAGCTTACATTACACTTATGTACTTATTTTACCATGTACATACTTATGCACATGTACATGTATGTATTTATGTACATAGGTTAGGTTATGTTTACCGGTTAACATTATATACATGTGCTGTGTTTCTTTTACAGATAGTCTATCGGATTCTGACAGCAACATTGTAGAAAGTGCTACTGCAGGCATCTGTAATCTGTGCCTAGGTAATGGCTGGTATCCACACATAAATACGAAAGATGAACGTGAGATATTAAAGGGTTTACAGGGTTTCTTCTGAGGGAAAATTGGACAAAGGAGGTAATGGCCAGTTTGGGGAAAAAATGTGCATTATGGATTCAAATACAGGATGTATTGATATACTTATAGGTATATATATAGATACAGGATATACTTATCAGTAAATACAGGAACATTTTCACAACGGCGATGTTAAATTTGACAACGGCGGGCGCCACTGTGTCTCCTATGTATAAGAAACCCTGGTTTATATGTGGTTTACTTGGTAAATATAGCCCAATGCACTGAGTTATTCCTTTGTACATTAAACTGAGCAAGTAAATGAAAATTTCTATATTGCTTTTATGTAAAATTGTAACCGAATTGTTGATTCTTAAATAATTCTAGTTGTATTCCAGATAAGAAGAACAAGGTATACATCTTGCAACAAGAGGGTGTCAGGCTGCTCCTACCATGCTTATCAAGGTTAGTTAGACCTTTACAGCTAGTGCAATGCTTTCCCGTTGTCAGTGTATTTGATTTGGTTTATGTTTTTATCACCACCTGTAGTTGTACTGTTTGTTGAAGATGAGAGTAGAATATCTAATGTTATTCAACCTTCATGTATGTTTCAGTATGCATGAGGAAACTGTACTGAACACTATGGCCTGTCTCATGTTTCTAGTCACACCCGAATCAAAACAAGGTAACTGACGGGCTTTTGTTGAATTGCATGGTATTCGAACATTCTGATTCGGAATGTTCTGTCTTCATAAATTAAAATAATCATGCAAATTCAGATGTCACTGATGATTAATGTTTTGAGCATTGTTTTTTTTGCTTCAAAAATTATGGCATTTCACAGAAAAAGAGTTCATTAAATAATCATAGGCGATTCCTCTCTCCTGCAGTATCTCTCGAATGAGTGGCCGGCGTAATATCTATTCACATTACCGTTTCACTCACAGGAATAATAGAGAAATAATATCGTATTACTGTCTCGCGCATAGAGATCACAGAGCTCGCTGTGGTCGACTGTATGCTGAGGCTGCAACGCTCGACCAATCCTCGTCTCTCCAACATGGCCGCCGTCTTTCTCGCGGACTACTGCACGGCTGAGCAGGTCGCTGAAGCCCAACGCGTGTCGTCACTCCAGGAGGCAGATTCCGTCGTCACGAGCAACGGAACGTGACAGGTAGCGTACCTGCGTGGTTACGGTGGTGCGTGTAGCGGATGGTAATCGTAACATTGCTGTAACTATATGGATAAGGTGGTACAGGTATCGGGTGTGGGTGTATAGTAATCGTAACATTGCAGATAGTATAGTGTAACGTGTGTGATTATGGTGGTACGTGTTGCGGGGATGGGTGGATCGTAATCGTAATGTTGGCGGTAGTAATTATAAGCTTACAGGTAGAATAGCAGTAATGCTAACATTACAGGTGGGGTTGCTGTAATGGTAGCAATGTAACTATTACAATATGTGTCACATTTGTACCATTGATACAGCTTGTGGAATTTCAGATCTGAAGTGTGGGGGAAAGCTAAGTGGATAGAAAAGTGGTCAAACACACCTCCAGCACTGATGCTCCCACAGAGATACAGCTTCAACTTCATCCACAAGTCATTGTCAAGTATTTATTCTATATATTTGCATGTGAAGGAAAAAGATCTGACGGTTTCTGTACGTGCTTCTCTCGATAGTAATCAAACGTTAATCTACGACTGTAAATGTTATTATTACCTCCGCCCAACAGAGTTGGAGGAGGTTATGTTTTCGCTCTTGTGCGTTAGTGTGTTCGTGTGTTCGCGCGATCGATATTAGCGCGTCAGCCAGCGAGCCAGCGAACCAGCCAGCTCAGCGAGCCAGCTAGCGTATACATGTGAGCGAGCAGCAGCAACGAGCGGCTGCTACGAGCGAGCGAGCAGCAAGCCAGCAAGCCAGCGTGTACATGTCAGTACGCTGGCGTATATCGTGGGTTATTCGTGTGTTCGTGAGTCGTATGGCGTCTGGCGTATGTCGTTGGCAGAGGTATGCACTCTCCGTGAGTGCACTCTGTCTAGTTTTAAGTTGTCGCAATGTCCAACAGGTGGCGTTAGTGAAATGTGATAGCAAAGTTGTAGTGAAGCGTAATCAATTTTCTATGTCTTGCTATAAAAGCCGTTGGTGCATTGTCAGTTCCATCACTATGTTTAATTACGAAATATGATATATCAACTGCCATATTATATTAAAATTGTCTTTTTAAAATCATATCAAAGTGTAGGTTGCCAATTTTATGTCTACTAGATTACACTGCGAATTGAGATATAACGCGTGAGAAATGGTTTCTATTAAACCATACTGAGTATTCATCACATCACCGAGGATGGAGACTGAAGTGAAATATTGTTATGACGATATGTGGGTGATAACTCGGTGGTAGGGTGGATTTAATCTGGATAATATCAAGAGTGAATAATATTATTCGCTCCTGATAATTTACAGTAAAGGGTTTTAATCTGCCTGGTGGAATTTTGTAAGAAAAAAATACATGGCATATTAGTTGAAATCACCAGCTTCCTCTTTTTATACTGAATAGAGAGATTCACAGTGAGAAATTGTTTACATTAAATATCAGGACATGTGCGAAACAGATGCTAAATCATCTCAGCTGCTTCGTATGTTTGCAGCGGTCTAAACGCAACCCAATTCTGTCCATAATTTTTATTTGGCTGTTAGTAAAGATTTAATGTTGCATCCCAATGAATGTTATTAGCAAAATATTACATGAAAACCTTTCAAAATTATACATAATGATAAATATAATATAGAGAGTGAGAGACGAGAGAGAATTATATTAATTGAGGCATAGGATGAGTTGATGTTTGGGTGTTGAGTTTCTAGTCAAACCTCCAGCTGCCTGACAAAGCAGATTAATTACACTCAGCCTTCTCTCCCTTGTGATACTTTCTCCTCTTGTCCTCTCTCGTCCAACATGACTGTACGGGCTGTCATGTTTTGGATTTCGCCGGTGAATGCTCACGAGTGCTCACTGCAGATGCTGTCCGTGTCTTTCTCAAGCTTTTCAGCTGTGCTACTGCTTGCTTTCTCGGTACTATCTCTGTCATGTCTCTGTTGGTCGGCTTATAGATACTTTATGATTGCTTTGTTGCTGCTTGCCTGCTGCTTGACTTGCTGTATAACTTTTTTTGATTGCTCTTGCTTTTCTGCAGTATTTGCTGCTGCTGCACTTCTCGCATTGCCTTGTCTTTTGTGTTGTCTTGCCATTTCTGGCTGTAGAATATTACCCTTTGTCTAGCTGACTTAGTCTTTTGGATTGTAGCCTGAGATATGAATAACTTAAACCTGAATGGCTGTAAAAGGTGTTGCCTGCTTCGCGCGGTGGTGGTTGCATGCCTGCTGCTGTGCTGCTCTCGTCACTCGTGCTCTTTTGCTGCTGCTGCTACTGCTGATTGCTGCTGCTTGCTGGTGCTGGCTACTGCGGCTGCTGCTGCTGATGCTGCTGGCTGCGCCTGATGACTTGATGCTGCCTTGCTGCTTGATGCTTGCGCGTTTGGCTTTTACTGGGGCTACTACTGTTAGCTTGACTTATATATGTGATATCTTAGTACTTATATAGGGGCGTTGTTTGTACTATGCTTTTTGCGTTTTGAGTGTTGTACTTGCTGTGCCTTAGCTGCTTCTGTTGATTACATGTCTATACTTAGTTTGATTGACTGCGTTAGCAATGGTGTTCTGATATACCGTTGGTGCTTTGCTTGCTGCGGTTAGTACTGCTGCTGCTGGCTTTTTCTGGTGTTTTTTACTTCGACGTTTTTTGACTGAGGTGGAATACTGAGGCTGGGTGATTGCTTTCGTATTCCACAGAAACAAATGCGGGTTTTTTGGCGTGCCTACTTTTTTGGGCTGATGGACTGTTTCTCGGTAGCTGCTTGGCTTGTTGGCAGGCTCACTGCTACTGATGGTCTTACCAGGGTTGCCGGCAGCTGACGTGTCTTCCGAAATTTCCACTGTTATATAGCTGGCTAGCCCTGAAGCGCGCTCGCTACTCGAACTGTTTGCTGCGGCTGCTGCTGCTTTACTTGCTGCTGCTGCTTGCTTCGAGTGAACTAGATAACGTTTGAGTGAATAGACCGCCTTGTTCGGTCCGCTAGGCTTACATTGCTTGCTCTCAGTTTATGTTTGTGGCGTCGATCTTGGTCTCTGTTACGCATGACTTCCTATAACTAGATTTGCTTGGCACTGCAATATGCAAACGGCCGGTCCAACTTTACGTATACCTTTATAGGTCTATGCAATTGCGTGTGGCGCTGCTGCTGCGTGGGTGGTGCTACCTGCTGCTTTGCGCTGCATGCTACTGCTGCTGCTGGTGCTGCTGTGTTACTACTACTAGCGTGCTGTTACTTGCTGCTGCTGACTGATTGCCCGACAATCTACCAGCCTTCCACATCGGCACATTATGTTTATGAGCGGCTTCACACAGTCTGGCTTCCCGCACGTGTGCCGAACGAGTGATAAACTTGGCTGTGTGCGGGCACCATATAATATGTGTGTTGTGTGCGCGCGTGCAGTTCGACCGTGGCGTGCGTGTGTGCGTGCTGTGCGTGTGTGTTTGTGGGGATGTGTGGGTGTATATATACTATATATATATATATATATATATATATATATAATATTATTATTATATATATGAGCTATATATATTATATACTATATATATGTACAAGCCGTTCGTCGCGCCGAAGTGCAGGTGGAGAGAGGAGTCATAAACCAAAGCCACAATAACTGCGCGTCCGTAACTTGAAAGGGGGCCGCCGCGAGATGTTCGGAAGGCAGATACGTAGCCGGCATACGTTGTTAATCGCCACGACGTACCCCCCCCCAATCGCTCACTTACTCGCCCCACACCGCCGACACTCGCCACACGCGCGCACGCACACGGACGGACGCACGCACGCACGCACATACACTGACGCACGGACGCACGAACGCAAGCACGCACGGACGGACGGACGCACACACACACGGACGCTCGCACGCACACACGCACACCCGGACCCACACGGACGCGCGCACACACACACACACACACACAGGCGCGCGCACGCACGCGCGCACGGACGCACACACACACACGGACGCGCGCACGCACGCACACACGGACGCACACGGACGCACGCACGCACGGACACACACACACGGGCGTGCGCGCGAGATGGATGTGTGGATCTATTTCGGGAACTACAAGCTATATCTGTTATTGCTATATCGTAATTCAGTATGGAAGCGCTATCCTAGAAGATCAGGTCGAGTAGCCACAGCTACTGGGCTTGTTTTGGTTAGCAGTTTATGTGCACATGATACACAGATTTTGTAATGTCTGGACAGCTGCAGCTAACACGCGTAATCAGATGTGTTTGTACACAGACGAGCCGAGGTTACGGCCATGCTAATATGTTGAAATCCTTGAAAAGTTTATCGCAACATGCAGGTATTTCTCCGTAAATCCAGTTTCTACGCAATTTTGAAAACCCTACAGGAGAGATAGCCAGCCTACTGAAGAAACTTTTTAAAACTTGAAATTTTTAATGCTAATTAATATCAGGAGTCGATAATAGGGAATAATAGGGAATTCCCTATTATCTACTCCTGTTAATATGTTATNCATTTACGTCGTTGTTAAGACCTGAATCTAAAGATGTTAAGTCGATTTAATTTCTGGAATGTATATGTGCTGCGTGTACGATGTATCAGTTACACCGATTGACCGCACCCAAGCAATATATATACAGGAGTCTAACAAACAACAGTCACATTCTAAGGTTCATATAAATTCCTCGGGGATCTTGGATCCCCTGTATCACTGTCTGACGCCTCCGGCACTCCTGAGTTTTTTTCTCCCCGTTCGCTCATCTTCCCTGCTGCATCTTAGATCCATACAGTTGCTATGATCTTCATATGTATCGGCATGCTCCGCGATACACGTGATACAGTGCGATGCAGATCCCATGGGGAAGCTACTTCCCAGCTTCGTGTATAAACACGGGGTTTAGCGATGGTGGGTGGGGTCATACGTACCCGAATTATGCGGTTAGTAATCCAGAGGGATCTATATATATATATATATATATATATATATATACTACTATATATATATATATATAT